TTCTTAATGCTCTCATCTCAACTGCATTTATTCTGCTTTCATGTTTCTTCTGCCATACCCAAGTTTCACTTCCGTACATGAGTGTCGGAATCAACACCCCCTCATGCACAGCCAAACGAGCCTTGTTAGACACCTTCCGACTGCTCATAAAGGAGTGCAAAGCTCCATTCACCATGTTTCCTGCATTCACTCTTCTTTCGATATCACTCTCACACTTTCCATCTCTTGTAAACTTTGAACCCAGATACACAAACTCTTTCACCTGTTCAATTTGTTCATCTTCAATCACAATGTTGCAGTCTGTCACTGCCTCATCTTTTTCAAACACCATCACTTTCGTCTTCCTTACATTCATCTTCATTCCCTTTCTAACAAAAGCTCCACTCATAGCAGTTACCATCTCCTGCAACTCCTCGGCCGAAGACGCAAGTAATACTTGGTCATCAGCATAGAGAAAACATTTGACGAGTAACTCATTCATTCTCAACCCACTTTCATTCTCTTTTAAATCTGTCAAACAATTGTCCATGAACAGATTAAACAGCCACGGTGACGCTACACATCCCTGTCTAACACCTTTTTCGATATTAAACCATTCAGTGTATGCCCCGTTTATCCTTACACAAGCACTAGAATCCCTATAAAGAGATTGCATTGCTCGTATGAGGATATTGCTCACACCGTTCACGGACAGTGCTGACCACAATTCATTCCTCACTACTCTATCATAGGCCTTTTCTAGATCTACGAACGCGCAGTAGACTTTCTTGTTTTTAGCCAAATACTTTTCGGCTATGCACCGCAAGGAAAAGACCTGATCCGTACATCCCATTCCCTTTCTAAATCCCGCTTGTGCATCCCATACTTTCTTGTCTGTTTCATTCACAATCCTTTCAATCAACACTTTCGCATACAATTTACCGACGACGCTGAGAAGGCTTATACCGCGGTAATTTATGCAGTCCTGCCGTGACCCTTTTCCCTTATACAATGGCACGATTACGGCTTTGCACCAGTCTCCCGGTACTTGCCCATTTCGCCAGCACAGATTGAAAAGGCGGTACAGCTGACTAGCTACCAGGCCCTGTCCAGCCCTCAGCATCTCGACGGTAATCCTGTCATACCCTGCAGCCTTACCTAATCTCATACTTTTCAACGCTTTCACTATTTCATCCATGCTTATCTCATTTTCATCAACATTTATATTAGTTTCCGTGGAAGGTGGCAGATGCTGTACCTGCACTTCCTCTCTTTCAAACAAACTTTCAAAATACTCTTTCCATCTCTTTAACACACATTCTTCTCCTTTTATAATGCTCCCATCTTGACTCCTGATTGTACTCAGCTCCGAGGTAGAAGTTTTTCCTCTGGCTGCTTTGATGGTTTTCCAGAAAAACTTAATGTTTGACTGGAAATCTTCAGTGAGCCTCCTATCGAAATCATCCTTTCGTTCTTCTTTCTTTCTAGACACAATTTCTTTCGCTGCTGTTTTCAATCTTTTATACTTCGTTCTTGCTTCCTTTATCTCGTCATCCGTTGCCTTTTGAACTTTTTGGTTAGCTTTTGTTGCTAACCAATCCAACCACGCTTTCTTCTTTTCTTGCACAACCTTTTGTACATCTTTATCCATCCACACGTTATCATTCTTTCTTCCTTTCCTTCTTTTAGCTACCCCGCATACCTCAATAGCAACATTTACGACCCCTTCCTTAAATGTCTCCCACAAATCTTCAATCACTCCTATCTCTTCTATCCCTTTAAAACTTTCTTTCAGTTTCTCTACATACTCGTCTTTCTTTTCTTTTTCTTGTAGATTTTCCACTTTTACTCTGTCCAAAACACTCGTAGGCTCGGCCACTCGGTGTCGCCACAGTTTAAAGAGGCCACGCATTCGGGCTATGACCAGGAAGTGGTCTGTGTCGAGGCCTACACCGCGGTATGCCCGAGTGTCTAGTACTTTCTTCCTCAGTCTTTCATCCACAATTACAAAATCAATCATACTTCTAGACTCACCCTCATCTCTTGTATACAAATGGATCTTTTTGTGGTCAAACATTGTGTTGGCCACGCACAGATTCCATTCCAAGCATACTTCAAGCAGGCTTCTCCCATTGTCATTCACTCTCTCGTCCCCAAACGTACCCAGAACTCCTTCATACCCATCACGCTTTACTCCAACCCATCCATTAAAGTCCCCTAACATCACGATCCGTTCATTTTCTCCGCATTTATTCAAGACCTCTCTCATGCTATCCCAAAATTCCTCTCTCTCTTGTTGTGTTTTTAATGACCCACCTCCACGCAGATCCGTCGGTGCATAGACCCCAAGGATAAACAAGCGAGTGAGTCCGACTTTTAACCTAATCCAGAGGAGTCTTGGGCTTATACATTCATGCTCCATCACACATTCAACCATTCGAGATGAAAGAATCACACCAACTCCCTGACAGCCTCGGCTGGTTTGGGGGACTCCCGACCAGTATGCCGTGTAGGGGCCATGAACCGTGGTGTCACATCCTTTCCTCTTGGTTTCGTTCACGCACAGAATATCAATGCAACGTTCATCCATCATCTGACATACTTCATCTACCTTACCATCCATTCCTCCTCTTACATTCAACGTAGCGAAGCGGCTCTCCGTGGCCCGCTTTTCGCCCCCGCGAGAAACGAGACGTGATGGGTGGCGAACCACATCGCCGCCATTTTGGTTAATTAAGTTATTTTTATGATTATCCATTGCGTTCCCACGAATAGCGAGGGAAAGGTTTGTCCCCCCCAGCAGAGCCCCGCATGCCAGGGTAAGGCTAGCCTAATTCTGGGGTCGCCCGGTCCCAGGGCAGTGTGGCACGCTAACGACTAGGCTCGCCCCTAGCCATGCATCCATCCGCGCGGCAGACGTTGGATTGGCGAGGGTAGGAATAGGAAAAGGGGTAGGATAGGTGGTGTGAAAAGGAAGAGTAAGGTAAGTTAGGGTAGGAAATAGGAAATGTAGGATATTACCGTCCAGGAGGGCACGGGATAGGACAGTAATAGCTAGGGAAGTCGGGGTCGCATACCCGTATACCATACCACAACTACCTAGTAAATAATGCTATATCTAAATTAGTAAATTGGTTCAATGTTAATAATTTGCATTTAAATGGCACTAAAACGAAATGTATGAAATTTATGACTCCAAATGTCAAACAATTAAGACTTCAGTTAACTCAATAGAATTAATAACTTTCGATTCGTGTTTAATAATTCGCCGTGTTTTGCATTGATTAAATATTTGTATGCAGCAGCAAGAATCGTCATTTCTATTAATAAAGTAATAAAACATTTTATAGGTAACATATAAAATAAAACAAATAATCAAGAAGTATGTAAATGATGAATAGTAATTAACATATTTGATAATGTGAGATTGTTCTTGAGCTTAGACATGGAAACCTTAAATAATTCTTATCATTCCTTAAATAAGTTAGAAAATGAGATCATTAAGTCTCCTTTCCTAAGTTATTTAAGGAATGATAAGAATATTTTAAGGCTTCCATGTCTAGGCTAGTTAAAGATATAGGAGAAAAGTAAGGAATCGATTTATTTAAAACGTCTTTATTACAACAATCGTATTTTGTAATATTATGCTTTAATCCTCGTGATATTTTTTTAAATAATTGTCCAGAAATAAATTTAGTCTGTCTGTCTGTCTGCCCAATTCATTGATCACCCGAGGTGTTATAATAAAATTTTACTTTATATTTCGTTGCTACCGTTTAGGTATTGTATGCAATAACCAGAAAATACATTATCGAAATGGTAGTAATAAAATATTCTCTGATATATTTATATTCCTTGTTTTCTAAATATGCTCGGCATTATATGGGTTGTAACGGAAATGCGTGGTCATATTTTAGATACCGGTTCTGCCTATGGAAATGAAAACCTTTCTTCATAAAACCAATTTCCCAAAAAAAATGTACTAAAATATATAATCTATATAGGCTAGGTCTTAGTAGTAAACAGAGATGTAGATATTTATAAATAAACCACTGTGGTGCAACTACTTGTAGCGATATCCTGGGAAAAATAAATTAAAGGTTACCTACTTAGAAAGAGAGGGTAACTGCCCACAGAGAGCGAGATAGTAATACATAGGTTAAACTTCAAGTAGGTATTCGGAGTCGCGCGGGGTCATGAAGTTATAGATAAAGATCTTATCTTATCTCTTTATCTATAACTACATGCTCAGGGTGGACGGTTTAGTGGATATGACATGTGACATTTGTTACCAACTTCGTATAACCATCGGTGTCATTCGGTCGATTCACTATGGCGGGAACACAAAGCGCGTACACAGCGAACAAATCGCGCTCTTTCTCTTTCACTGGCTCACTTGATTTGGTCATGTATAGCCAGCCTAAACTCGAGTTATGGAGATCCAACTCATAGATAATGCACTATATACCAGGGAGTTGCGCTTTTAACTCGAGTTGACTCATCGCTAACATGATTAGTTCCAATCATAAATTACGTTGCAATTATTGCCGCGCCCGCGCCGAGTTATTTTGCGCGCACTTTACAATTAATATAGATATAGAGAGGAAAGCTGTGACGGAACTTTATTTGTGGATCATATATTGCCAGCCACAAACGAATAAGAAGTACTATATAGCGCTCTTTACATGAGAATCAGTTTTGGTTTTACTTAGCTTGCTACATATGATTTTACTGGTATCTGTATGCAAGGCAAGGTATAGACTCAGGGTATATACAATACATATAGTATTGTTGATGCGCAGTATATCCTATTTAGTAGTCTGTGCTATATATATAGACTAATATATAATATCTATGCTCTGTGTTCCTGTCTCTTAATTTACTAATATCGTAATAATATGGATTGATTAAATGCCAATGAATCCAATTTACGCTAATTTAATTTGTACAACCATTTTTCCATCCGTTATATATCACTAGTGTTTAGTTTCTCTTCGGTCAAGGCTTGTTTATCTACAAATATGACGATTGAAGGCAACAAGGACGAAGCAGACAAATGTATTGAAATCGCCCAAAATGCTTTTTCTGCTGGTAACGTGGAAAAGGCCGAGCGGTTTTTGTTGAAGGCCGAACGCTTGTATCCTACGCCGCGAGCTAAGGAACTTCTTAACCGTGTTAGAGCTGCGGGTCCGTCGAGTGCTGCACCAAAACGAACTCCACCAAGTACGCCTAGCGCTGAGGATGTTAGGCGAAGAAAAGCACCATCACATCAGGCGCCTCAAAGAGAATACACTCAGGAACAATTAGCCGCTGTCCGAAGAATCAATACTAAATGCAAGGACTATTATGAAATATTGGGTGTGTATCTTTTCCTTATACTTTAAAATTATTTATAATCAATTAGTTCTTTTCTATTTTAACAAATTGTGTACATTAATTGTCCAAAAGCACATTTACTTAATTAAGATTGTCAGAGAATATAATGATTATTTAAATGTCAAGGATATTGTCTTCTTTACGTTGTAAAAGGGTGAAGCAGTTAAGAGGACCTGACAGATAATATTTAGTCCGCTCTGGAAGGTGGTGCAATAAGTGTAACTCTTAATCCACTCTGAACATTTTACAGTGTAAATATCAAATTTGTTAATAACTCTATGATAGTTCATAGTGTAGCTAAAACCAATATACCAGTTCAGAAAACAAGACCATCTCAGTGAATAACTAGCAAGAAACTTTTGTCTTTTATTTTAATAAAATAACACTACAATTAATAATAAATCAGTACAATTTCAGGTACGACTTTCCATTGGTTCCCATCGAGTTGGGGTTTGATACATATTTTTACAGAAAATTTACACTATTATAAACATACACACAAAGTTACAATATGTGGAAGTGAGTAATTTTTGAGAAAAAACTTATTGAAAATCAATTATTTTTGCATTGTTGATGTTTAATCCTACAATAAAACTGATGCCATTTTTTTATTGTTATTGTCAGTAGGGATGTCGATTCTTTCCGAAAAATATCGATTTTTTTAAATAGATTCGAATTGTAAGCTGATGTATCGATTACCAAAAAATCGATTTCTAAAATATCTATATTTTTTTCATGTTTGCATTTATAAAGTAAATATAAATCCATTTTATGAGAGAAAAGTCCCCTTCATCATAAAATATAGGGGACTGATTCAGAAGGATTTCTGTATCTATTTTGAGATTTCTACGTCTCCGGTGCTGCGGGAAGAGCAGCCTCTACGCCTTAGCGTAACAAATCGCGCCTCCGGCTCTTTAAAACCACTCCAGGGGTAGGACAGACTCGTACCAGGTGGAGACGGGGTCAATCAATTCGGTTCTTTGAAATAAGTTGAACCTAACCTATTTTATTTGTTATCTGCCCTAATTGGTACGAGGGCGGCACTGAAAATTTCGGGAATCAAGGAAGTGACATAACATTACTATTTAAAAATGTGTTTATTGCTTTTCGAAGTATTCTCCGTGAAATTTAACACATTTTTCATACGATGGAACCAATCATTGAAGCAACCATTCCATTCGGAAGTCGGGGTCTCCAAAATGGCCGTTTTGTAGGCGTCCACAGCTTCTTCAGGTGATGAAAATCTTTGTCCACACAATTTATTCTTTATTTTAGGGAAAGTATAGAAATCATTAGGGCTTAGGTCGGGTCTGTACGGCGGATGGTCTAATAATTCTATGTTTTCTAGCTCTAAAAACTCTTTTGTTCTGTGTGCGGTGTGAGAACTCGCATTGTCGTGATGGAGGATGATGCGGCGGTTACAGTTCTCTTTACGGAGTTCAGAAACGACCTGTGGCAAACAAATGCTAGCATACCATTCTGCATTAACCGTTCTTTGTCCCTCAAGAGGAATAGTCGTAACATGGCCGGTTTTGGAGACAAACGTGGCCACCATTTTTTTTTGCAACACTCCGTGAAGGAACAATTTTTGTTGGCTTTAACTCATTTTCGAACACCCAAACTCGTGTCTGGTTTTTTGTTTCGGGTTCGTACGCGTATATCCAGGATTCGTCACCTGTCACCTGTCACCTGTCACCGTCATATGCTGTTGTATACAGCATATGAGGATACTGAGTGGAATCTTTCGAGAGTTCTGACGCACCAAGTAACGCGAGCCGCTTTTTGCTCTTCACAGAGCGAATGCGGTATCCATCGAGAAAACAACTTTTTTACACTTAATTGTTCATGCAAGATTATTTGTATTTGACTCATGCCAATGTCTAAAGTTGCCTGAATTTCGCGGTATGTCACATGTCGATCTTCCTCAATCAGTTTACGCACAGCATCAACGTTTTCTTAGGTGACTGCAGTTTTTGGACAACCTTGACGGGGATCATCACTGAGCTTGACACGTCCACGTTGAAGTTCAGCAAACCAGCGATAAATTGTAGTTTTGGATGGGGCTTCATCACCAAATGCAGAAATCATCCGGTCAACACACTGTTTTTGTGTTAAACCACTTCAAAAGTCATAATAAATCATCGCTCTTGAATTTTCTCGAGTCAATTCCTTTTTCTCAACGTCTAAACAGGTTTGAAAAAATCTTGTGACAAGACCGAGAATCTTTTTTTAAATAAATAAATGGTATTCGATTTTTAAAACCAAGGACTTTTCAATTAAAAAAAATTAATATGACAGGAACAGTGGAAATATTCCATTCCCGATACTTTTAGTGCAGCCCTCGTATTGTTAAAATAAAACAAAATTCAATAAGAGATCATTTATTATGGTATCTTTCTTGTTTTCATAACATGGATTTATATTTACATTATAAATGCAAACATAAAAAATATAGATATTTTAGAAATCGATTTTTTATGAATCGATACATCAGCTTACGATTTGAATCGATTTAAAAATCGACCTTTTTCGGAAAGAATCGACATTCTTACTGACGACAATGACATTACAAAATGGCGTCAGTTTTATGGTAGGATTAGATATAAACAATGCAAGAATAATTGATTTTCAATAACTTTTTTCTCAAAAATTACGCGTTTCCGCATGTTGTAACTTTGTATGTGCTTATAATAGTGTAACTTCTCTGTAAAAATATGTATCAACCCCCAACTCGACGGGAGTCAATGGAAAGCTAAGCCTAATTTCAAATGTATATAAGGAAATAATTGGCGCAAGTATAAGTCTCTGAGAGAGGACTACATATTTGTCCCATTTGCTGTAGAGACTAGAGACTATTCATCCAAAGGGTCTGTGTGTGTGTGTGTTGAAGTTTTAGGAACTGTTTCTGTGACTTATCGTTGCTGGTGGTGATAGGTGGGCTAGTTCATTCTGGCTTAAAGTATTCAGCAAGGAAACACAGACTACGGTTTTACCACAATACCACAATATTTATTATTTATTATATCAAAGACAACTCTGTGAGATAGGACTGTATAATAATTTAAAGTGTTACTTTACAGAAACTTTGTAATCTAATGCACAGTGTAACTATCATGAAATACTTGACACTTGCAAAATCATTTATTAGTTGCCAAAACTAGGAAAAAAAGTAGTGCCCGACCGAAACAAGATTTTTAACCGAAAACGAACCTTTGGTCTGGGTGTCAGTTTCGGCCGAAACCGAAACCGAAACTTATTTAAGCATGTTAATTTTTTTATTGTATACTGAAATCTGGTATATTTTTATACATAATATACAGATAGGTAATGAATGTTTATGAAAAACAGTAATTGTAATAGTCATGTATATATTTATTTATTTTAAAGTAAAAATCAACAATATAACATTAAGAAATACTTTTTTTTTAAGTCAATTTTGTAAAAAGAATCAACCATTACACCCATAAAAAGTTACTCGCTAATTGAGGACATATTTTATTGTGTTCACAATATTGTTAATATTATTCAATGAAAGCACTAACTTAATATATCACACTCACACACTTACACACAATATACACACAACTTATCAAAATCCCAGAAAATATACAAAACCTGTTCAAAGTTCAAAAACATTAATAAACTAAGTTTGTATAAAAAGGGTTATTATAATATTAAGGAATTTATGGATAACTAGTTGACCCAGCGAACTTCGTACTGCCTAACAGTCCATTCTTTAATTTTTATATTTTTTTAATACTTATTAAAAAAAAATAATTATAAAACACTATTGAAAAATATTGACATTTACATTTATACGATACCAACGTCACTCAATATTTTTGGCTTCTCGGACCCCCTCCACTAACACTTAAACTTTATGGTATGGTATTAAAGTTCAAATTGACTTTTAAGTATTATACGAATCTTTTGTATGGGAATATAGAAAAGTGTTATTTTTAGACTTTTTTATGCAATTTTTTAAAATTTTCTCTCCGTAAGAACCATCTTCGTACTTCAAGGAATATTATAAAAAAAGAATTAGTGAAATCGGTTCAGCTGCTCTCGAGATTTGTGCTTAGCAACACATTCAGCGATTCATTTTTATATTATAGATAATAATAACCCCTAGGAATGAGCTGATCACTACCAAGCTATTTCTAATTTGTTTTGTGTTATTAATTGTGTTACATACATGATTGTAAGCAGCGGCATAGCTAGGCGTGGGCGAAGTGGGCCCTCCCCTACGGCCTCGCGCATAAAGGGGCCTTGCGAGGCCCCTTAAAATGCGATGCCCCCAGACTTTACCACAGATGACTAATTAATTTGATCACTTTTACGCTCGAAAAAGAAAGTCACAAATTCAAGTGTGTTTGTTTGGGGCCTCGCAAGAAGCCCCTCTTAAGTAACTGCGAGGCCGTTGTAACTACCTTCAAAGACCGCGACTGTTACATTGACGGAATACGAGACTTGTCAGGAATTAATAGATATCAGTAGGTATGTCGTCTCAAACCATGTTTGGTAGGATCTATTGGGTAAGATCCTTGGAAGGAAAGGAAAGGGGCCTCGCCGATGCAACGTTTATATTAATCCACGCTACGCCTCTGATTGTAAGCTGTTATTTAAAAAATAACAGCTTACAATCAGAGGGTTTCTTGCTGGTTCTTCCAAGGACAAAGTTTTTTTTCGAACCAGTGGTAATTAAACAAAAAAGTGACTTTCAATAAGTATTATTTATAATCTATATTGATTAAAAAAGTTTCCGTTTCTGTATAATTATGAATAATACACAAGTCACTAACTCATCCGAACGACGCACGATAATCCACGAACACCGAGTTTCGGCGCCGCCGAAGGTTCAGCAGATTTTTTGCCGAAACCGAAACTAGATTTTTTTGCCGAAACCAAAACTGAACCTTCGGTCGGTCACTAGAAAAAAGTTTTTAGTTTTAGTCTTTTTTTATTATTGTAAAACTAAAATGACTTTCAATAAATATTCTTGGAATGTATACTGAATAAAATGATTGTGGTTTATTTCATTCTATAATATTTAAAACAAAAAATTATATTGTAATAATACGAGGTGTGATCAAAAGGTAAGGTAACTTTTTATTTTTATCAAAAATATTTTGATAATGTGCTGTGGTGTCCAAAGCGAGGTTCGTCATTGGTATCTTCTTGGCCTTCTTGGAAGAGTTTATACCACTTGTAAACATTTTTTTTTTACTTATAGTAGACTCACCGTATGCCACTGTCAACATTTCAAGAGTTTTAGAGCACTTGATTCCATTTTTTACACAATTTTATGCAAATTCTTTGGGCCATGTTTTTCGACAGTAGAAAATCACTGAGCACACAAAACATTTCTGACCTTAATGCCTCTCACAAACAAACAAAAAATGCTATACATTTGAAACTTTTCACAGATGTTCAAGACAAATGTACCATAACATAACAATAAAAAATCGAAGGTCAAACAGACGTAGCTCACGAAATTTTAAATGTCACCTTACTTTTTGATCACACCTCATATGTCAGAACCCAAGGGACTTGCAAGTGCAGATTAAGTATTATTTCTGAATATCATGCCCTAAATTTAATAATGTTCTTCAGATTTTATATACGTGGTAGAGCCATGCTGCATCTATATTATGGTTGTAGCACGAATGCGTGGGCTCGACCGGGGAAGGACCACGCTCTCACAGAATACCAGCGTAAAATAGCAGCTTAACGCTGCTGTGTTTCGTATGGTGAGTGTTGAGAACCGGAGACCCTTTTTACTGGAAACGAGGCATTCCATCTTAGACCTCACGGGTGACAACGCATCTGCATTTTGACTCTTAATCGAAGATAGATGTAGATGTCTATGGGCCACAGCGACCACTTACCATCAGGTACCATCAGGTGGACTGTGTGCTCGTTTGTCACCCTTATCCTATAAAAAAAAAGATTGAATTGACAGCCAATCTCATTGGAGACTAGCCATATATGCAGGACAGGATTACTTTGTATAAATGTGCATGCACAGGTGCACATTCTATTCTTAAAGGATTCTAAGAAATCAAGCAATCAACCAAGGACTTACTGGGCTGGGAAAAGCTCCATCTACGTCCTGATTGATATAGAAAAACAAAAATTTTGGATTGAGCCTGAATGAAAATTAATCTGGGACAATATGACCACCAATTGTGCTCATGAACTCTAGAACAATGAGACAGTCACTCTTCAATTTAATTCTTAATTAATTAACATATTTATACACTTCAGGTGTGACCAAGGAAGCCACTGACTCTGATATTAAGAAGTCCTATAAAAAGCTAGCTCTTCAGCTACATCCTGACAAGAATCATGCGCCAGGAGCCGCTGAGGCTTTTAAGGTAATGGAATTCTGGTTAGGACATGTTGCAATCATAGAGCGACATGGGTCACCGGCGGACCGGAGGACAATAGCCATACTCAGGTGTTCCACTCTGTCAAAGTACAAATGCATGCGGTTCCATGTCAACACCAACCTACAAAACTAAATAGTTGTCCTACAAAAATGCCGATTTATTTTTTGCTGCACAAAGAGATCTGTCACATCAAATTTACAAAAGGTGGCATTACCTTTCATATATTATAAGTAATTTATAACATTATTGCTATTTACTTCCTTTTTTATCTTAAAATTAACAATAATATAGGTAGTGTTGTTTTAGATTTGCTTACCAACACAGGTTGCTCAGCCTATTACAATATGCAGATTGGTTGAGTAACTGATCCATATTTGTATCCAAGTTGTCACTGTCGCTGAGTAATACTGTTATAATGTATCTGTGTGTGTGACATTTTTAGTTTATTGTTTTAATTATTGTTATGTGCGAGTTTTGTAGTGACAGACAATGATTGTTCTTCTGTGTGCAGATTTCTCCCCTGGAAAAAATTACAGACAGTTCTGTATCGGAAAAAATGTTATAGCTACTCCCCTCCGGTCCGCAGGTGGCCCGTGTTGCTCTATGTTTGCGATTGTCCCGCATTAATATTTATACTTAAGCATAATAATTATATATATAGGAACTATGAAAACTTTGAGTAAAATCATTATCTTGAATTTAACTATAGTCCATTCACGTTCAGTAGTAAATAATCACTGTCCACTGGCCAAGGCCAAGCTCATTGGATGGGGGCATAGCTTGCTATCCAATGAGGTCAGGCAAAGAAATCTGAAAATCAAATCCACAGTATCAAATTTTTGTACGGAACGATTGTGTCCTTTTTGTGTTGCCTATTTAAGTTATATTATATTTGCGCGGAACCCTAATTCTTTTTATGAAATAAAAATAACCTTAGTTACTCCTTATTACATCAACTATCTGCCAGTGAAAGACCTGTCAAAATCGGTCCAGCCCTTTCAGAAATTAGCCTTAAGTAAACAGTTAATTTATTCATTTGTCATTGCAAACAGACTTCAATTTATTTATTTGTATTATACAATAAAATTGTAGTGCATAGTTAAATAATACAAAATTTTAATTTTAAATTATGTTATTGCAAATGGACTATAATTAGGCATTCCATTTAGGTCCTAGGGGATAACATGCATCTGATTTTTGATTATTATATGACGAGAGACGGTGGTGTCTAAAGGCTATGTTTCTTCTTTATTTAAGTGTTATGTTCAGCAAACAAAACATGACTCACAATATCATAATATTATTTTAAAAATATGTTACCCCTACACTATGATTTTCTCCTGTATTGTATAGGTAGTTTACAAACATAAATTGTACAAGTACAAACATACAGACACGGAACAGTTATTTGTAGGCCGTACAAATAATTGATCTGTGCGGGTTGCGAATCCGCGGCCATCAACGCCGCTACTCAGATTTACATTTCAGATTATAATTGAGAATTACACAAAGAATAATAAGGTACTTAGACAGCATCTCCCTGATAAAACTCAAGATAATAAAAAACTGCAGTTGTCCTGCCAAGCGTAACAACTACTGCAAATATGATAACCCCTTACAGGTTATCTATGAAAATTACTTTCACTTCAAATCTTTCTTCTGTAAGAAGCACTCAGTGGTTTTATTCCCCACCAATCCAGTGCACAAATGCGCCTGTAGGGCACATTTAACGGTTTTATAGAGATAAAGTACAAACTTATCGCAAATTTTCTTAACGTGTTTTTTAAACTTCATGCATTTATTCAAATAAGACTATCTTGTTTTAACCAACTGAATCTCTAGCGTGTCACTGTAATCTGTTCTACAGGAGACATTTTGTTTTTATAATTCAATAATATTTATTAATATCTACGTGGTAGAGCCATGCTGCAGCTATCTTATGGTTATAGTACGAATAGGTCGGCTCGACCGGGAAAGAACCACACTTTCACAGAATATCAGCGTAAAATAGCAGCTTGATGCTGCTGTGTTAAGTATAGTGAGTGTAGAGTACCGGAAACCCTTTTTACTGGATACGAGGCATTTTGATTCTTATTCGAGGATAAATGTAGATGTCTATAGGCCATAGTACCAACTTACCATCAGTGGGACTTTGTGCTCGTTTCTCACCCGTATTCTATAAAAGTAAAACTGCAGTTGCCCAACTGCAGCTGCCAAGTGTTACAATTATGGTAGGAAAATTACATAATTTGTGTCAATCTTGCCAATCCCCAGGCTATTGGTAATGCAGCAGCAATCCTCACCGACCCTGAGAAGAGAAAGCAGTATGATCTGCGTGGTGAGGAACCCGTGCACTCGCCCCACGCACACCATCAGACGTATTACGCTCGTGGGTTCGAATCTGACCTTACCGCTGAAGAGTTGTTCAACATGTTCTTCGGGGCGACTGGTGAGTGAATATAAAGTGGCACCTGTCATGGACTTGGATACAAGCTACTAATGTATTTTCCTTTAGGTGTATGGTGGTGACGTACGAGAATTATCCATGTAACATATTGTTTTTATTTTTATAAAGAATATTAGCTGCTCCGGCAAATATTATTTTGCCCTTTTTGGTAGGTGGCGCGACAAGTTTCACTAGTTCATTGCGGCTTCACTCTAAACTTTTTGCAGTGTAAATATAACATTTAAATAACTGTCATCCTAACTGATTGCTGATTGGATCCATAATGCGCAAATTAAACACTCATCTGGAAAACAGCGTATTTAGGCGAGATGAAGTGAAAATGCTCACGGCTAAGCAAGTTCTTTAACTCGGCAAAAATTAAACAGTAAACCATTGTGGCAGTGTTTTATGTATTCACATAATACTCGAAACCTATAAGTTTATCGCTTTTTAGGGTTCCGTACCTCAAAAAGAAAAAACGAAACCCTTATAGGACCACTTTGTTGTCCGTCTGTCTGTCAAGACCCTTTTTCTCAGGAACGCGTGGAGGTATCAAGCTGAAATTCATATCAAATACTCAATTCTACTGTCCCTTAGAGCTGTAAAATATCAAACTTCTAAGGCAACGCAATCATAAGATACAGCCGTTTATGCCGTAAATTTTCGACATTAGCAAGGGAATCAAAACCTACAGGGTACTTCCCGTGAACTCAGAATCTTGAAATTTGGTACGAAGCAACGTTTTATAGCACAGATAAAGGAAAAATTACGAAAAGCATAAATTTTTAGTTACATCATATAATAAAAATATTTTTAATAATTTTAAACTTATATACCTACGGATTTGTACGGAACCCTCGGTGCGCGAGTCCAACTCGCACTTGGCCGGTTTTTTTAGTATTAAAACGCTACGCTAGGAACTCTATCCGCGAATGGTCGTTGCTGCTGATAATAGGGCTGGTTCAAAACGCTAAAGAAGTATAACTTCCTACGTTCGTACATAAGTTCGTACACACACACACTTTTTTTACTTACTTCTTTATCAACTTAGCTGACGGATAGTCGTTATTATTATTTGAATCAAACACTTTTTTTGGGCGATTTTGCGATTTACCTGCGTACCGACTGTACCCAGGTAGGCCGGGAAAACAGTCATATACCTGCTTATTGAACGGACTGATAGTTTCAACAAAGTTTCATGATGCATTAAACACTTCACGAAAAATGCGTCATGAGCTCTCTGACCATTTTTATGTAGAGCCTAAAGCATTGTTTTAGTGGTCTAAAACCATCTTCGCATTATTGCCTTTCTAATGAAACCATTTTGGGGCACATTGGTTGTATGGAAGAAAAGTCTATAACGGACATAGGTAGAAAAACATTTTTTGTGTTTTATATATTATATTATATATAAAAATTACGTGTGACGTTGTTTGTCCGCGGTAAACTCCTAAACTACTGAACTGATTTCAATGAAGTTTGCACACTGTGTGCATTTTCGTCCAACTTGAGAGATAGGATAGTTTTTATCCCGATAAGTGGCACTCAATATTTTTTTATTACGAATTTATAGATTTTTTATATAAAGGGACGTCGAAAAGGGCAGAACAACGTCTGCCTGGCCAGCTAGTATTACATAGATTGTTTTACATTTAAGTTGACCTCAGTCCCACATAGCGAAATATGGTGAGCGAAGATTATTAGCCCTCATTGGGTTGTGTCGTGGAGGGTATGTATGTATGTGTGTGTGTGTGACGAGGGGGGCGAGCATGGTGGTACGGTCGACGATGATTAAGTGGCGGTTGGTGGTAGCGTTCCCGGGCGGGGGACCCACGGTGTACAGCCGACGGCGCGCGCGCGAGCCGGAGCCGCGCGAGGCTGCGGGCGGACTGGTGCAGCTGCTGCCGGTGCTGGTGCTGGTGCTACTCTCCATGATGTCCGGCTTCTTCATCAGCGAGCCCGTTTTTAGCCTGACGCCCAGCTTCAAGTACCCGGTGCCCAGGGAGACCGTCAACTTGAAGGTGGCCATATTTTCTTTCTTTATAATCAACATATCACACACTTTACACATTAATTACTTACAGCTTTATTAGCTTGTGAATAATATTTATTTTTACTAAAACTTACCTACCAGTAAAAAAAAGTTAGTGTAAAAGTTTTACCACTTGCTTGAAAAAACTTCTCTCATGGGAATAACTGATGATAAACCTAGACTTTAAAGAGGATTTCCGGGGACTGTTTAGTCTATACAAACGTATTGATACTAAAGTAACTTACGATATCATCTTTATTTACCACTAACGTGTTCCTGCTTTGTTATTTTTATAATTTAATTATTCTAAAAATACTGCAAACTGTTCAGCTACAGTGTTAATAAATATTGTAAACCATGATCTGGGCAAGTTGTTGCAATACTTTATTTATTTATTTTATGCTCTTTATTGCGCACTTATTACGTATTATACACACATTTAATTTATTATACTTTACTATTACATGACATTGACATGACATGAAATGGACCATTGACACTACTACTGTCAATGGTCAATTTCGAGAGACCCAAATGTTCAAGTTTGTCATATGAATAGAATAAAATAGAATAATTTTTATTCAATACATAGATTATTACGTAATACATATTGAGTCATTTTATTATCTATCAAGTCATTGAACCAAGTCATTCGAATTATTTCCGGTTTTATTACTCAGTGATCTATGAAACACACACGGTTCTGTTGATTGTCGGTCTTCGGTCATGAGCGCAAGTCATTTGTGTGTTAGTTATTGGAACGAAGTTCCTTATCACTCGGTACAAATTTGACGGATAGGGGCTAGGCGAGAAAAAGTGTAAGATATTTCCGTTAGGACCCCTTTCTATAGTGCGAGCGAGATGGAATAATAGCCATCTCCCTCGCACTTTTTCTTATCTTGCCATGAAAGATATATTATTTTATTTTAAATGACGCTTCATTTTAATAGACGCTAGTAATTCATTTATTTGTATTTGTTAATCAATAATAATATACTACGAACTTCGTTCCAACCGAGTGTTCCACGACACTCACGCATGTTTCTATTATTTTGAATAATATGTGAGTACTGCTTAATAAATGACAATCATTTGTATCTCACATAAATGTACCAAAGAAATCGTAACCGCGTTATAATATTAGTTTCAACTAGTCGAAGCAACTATCACATTCATTTATAATAAGTACCAAAAAGCCTATTCGCATAATACTATTGCATAACAGATAGTAGATAGTCAATCACAGGTTACAGGTTAAAAAGTATTGTCAATCTTTTGTACCGGATCATTCAAAAGAAATGATTACAATCATCAATACCTTTGCGTGACCCGGTTCACGCGATCGAATCGTTCACGATTGAAAAATGTACCTACCTAACCCTATTTATACAATCTACAACTAGCACAATAAATGACTTAGTTCATTTAATTCTATCAGGAAGGTGCTTTTTACAATGCCCACGAAATTATATGGGTTAGTAGATTCCCTACGACGCCTCCACACGGCATTTATTTAACTTCACTAATTAAGTTTACAAACTGTTCACTCATTATATAAATTTAATGAAGCTTATAATTTCAATATAAATTATGTTTTTTAGTAAACTGAATCGTAGATTTACCGGCGTGATGGCGATGTAAGAATATCCACTGCCCCATATTATCCCGTGGGTGTCGTAAGAGGCGACAGTGGGGAACAAAATTGTACACGTGGTAGAGCCATGCTGCAGCTATATTAGTAGTATAGCTGTAGCACGAATGGGTCGGCTCGACCGGGGAAGGACCACGCTCTCACAGAATACCAGCGTAAAATAGCAGCTTAATGCTGCTGTGTTTCGTATGGCGAGTGTAGAGAACCGGAGACCCTTTTTACTGGAAAAGAGGCATTCCATCTTAGTCCTCACGGGTGACAATTTGCACATTTTGATTCGCAAACGAGGATAGATGTAGATGTCTATGGGCTACAGCAACCACTTACCACGAGGAAAATTGTGTGCCCGTTTGTCACCCTATCCTATAAAAAAAAATCAGGAGATGGGCGGCAACGTCTTCCTAATAACGACTAAAAATAAAAAAACTGCGGTTGTCAACCGCTTCCCAAGCGTGGCAGCTATGGCAAATATCCCCCCTATTAGACGTGTGTCAATCGTGAATGATTTGTTCATTTGTACCGGGACGTGTTTCGGACGTTCCGGATCAAACGATTGACAGGTACAACCACAGAGTATAGTAATGTCCGACAACCGACATTATCGACCGGGTCTCACAGATCACAGAGTAATGAAACTTAAAACGATCCATTTAAACGATCGACCCGAATGACCCGGTTCGTAAAACGATTCTTGAATGATCGGGTCACTAGAAATGAATAAATGTCTACCGCCTATGAGGAAATCTATGAGGGAGACCTATGTTCAGCAGTGGACATTAATAAGCTGTAATGGTAATAGACCAATGACTGAATAGTATCCCGTAAGCATTAGACCACTCCAGCACGGCTAGCATGGGCTGGGGACAAAAAATGTATCCCCCGAATATACCCACTGACAAGAGATAAAATTATCTTGTCCTTATGCGAAAGCACGGCAAAGGGGAGAAGTATATCCCCGTTTGACATAACGATTAGACATATATCCCCATCCGTAGCATGAAGCCAAATGAAAGATAAAAAATTATGCTTTTTCGACATTTGAAAGGGACAATTCTATCCTAGTTCAGACGTGGGTTTTATATAAAATTCATACAAAAAATTTATCTAAGTATATCTCCCATTTTATCTACTGTGGATATTATATCCACCGGTGTGCCCGACACTAAGCGAGGGGATAAACATTTTCTCCCTTCCCTGGGGATAAAATTGTCTCCTGCCCATGCTAGCCCGGCTGGTAGGCTTAAAATGCTTAAGCTTTAAAATAAAGTTACCTATTGTAATTTGTAATTACTTATAAATGTCCTGTTAAGGTATATAATATTTTACGCACAGATCTTGTAATTAATATAATGTTAGTTAGTTAGTGGGACGTATACAGCCTGTATACGTCCCACTGCTGGGCACATGTCTCATCTCATTTCTGAGAGGGTTTTGGGCATGGAACGGTCCGCCGCGCTGCCCCAGAGTGCGTTGGCGAACTTCACATGTCTTCGAAAATTATTTTTTTTTCTTATTTTTCAGATATACAGGTTTCTTCACGATGTTTTCCTTCACCGCCGAGCAAGTGGTAAATCATCACTTAAATTTGCAATTAACAATTTCATTGGTGGCGGCAGGGAACGAAACCGGGTTGCTCGCGTACTGTGAAACTTACAGCGAGCGCTAACCATCTGAGCTACCATGGCTAAGCTGTTAACTAAATATAATAATAACTAAAAAACTAACGTACTAATCAATATTTAAAACGATTAATCATAATATTGTTATGTAAATGCCAGGTACCATACTATGTGAAGGAGAACTTCCACACCGACTACCAAGGATCCTTAAGGCGACTCGAAATGGCCATAGAAGAGGAGTATATAGGTAAATATATATATATGGGATTGTTATAAACTAATTTACTTAATTCCGCGTAAAGAAAGAAAATGATGTGTCCTGTCCAGTCCCAAGGGTATATATATATATATATATTTATACCCTTATATATATTTCTTTTTTACATTGCCAATTTGCAGTTACGCTAGTTATACATATCTGCAGCAAGAAAGGCTCGGCTCGACCGAGATAGAACTACGCTCGGAAAGAATACAGCGTACAACAGCAGAATAAAACAATAACTTAGATATAATTAACTGAGCTGATAATCTTCAAACGGCTGAACAGCATTTCTTAAAACATATTTTTTTAGTATAGAATAAGGGTGACAAACGAGCACACAGTTCACCTGATGGTAAGTGAATGTTGGGGCTCATAGACATTAGACATCTACATCGATCGATCCATGCTACAGCTATATTATGGTTCATGCATGCTACATGAATGGGTCGGTTCGACCTGGGAAGGACCACGCTCTCACAGAATACCAGCGTTTTTACGCTGGTATTCTGTGAGAGCGTGGTCATCAGCTTAATGCTGTTCAGTACCATATAATAAGTGTAGAGAAACGATAGCCCTTTTTAATGAAACTGAGGCATTTCCATCTCAGTCGACGGGGGTAACAACGTATCGCAATTGAACGCAATGCATTTTGATTCTTAAGGGAAAAAGCGCCAGGGTGGCCCGCGAAGTTCAAATTTTCTTACGTTTTTTGCAATTTGCAGATCAGTATTAAGTTCATATAATCCCATTGTAGGTATGGCTATTTCCAGAAAAACTCATTCAAAGGGATTATATGAACTTAGAGGGTTGTATTGGTGATTTTAATGATAATAATTCTGTAAACACATACTCCTTACGGTCGCGAATTATATTTTGTCAAATGAACCTTACCCTGACCTGCAAATTTCAAAGAACGTAAGAAAATTTTAATTTCGCGGGCCACACTGGCGCTTTCACCTTAAGAATCAAAATGCATTGCGTTCACTTGCAATGCGGTGTTACCCCCGTCGACTGAGATGGAAATGCCTCGTTTCCAGTAAAAGGCCTTCGTTTTTCTACACTCACCATATGAAACAGAACAGCATTAAGCTGATATTTTACGCTGGTACTTTGTGAGAACATGGTCCTTCCCCGGTCGAGCCGACCCATTCGTGCTACACTGTACCAGTAATATGGAGCATGGCTCTACCACGTGCAACATCGCTGATAGCCGAGGACCGTTCTTTGTGGCATTTCATTTTTAATTTCTCGGTGTAGGCCTATGTTCAGCAGTATACTTATGATGGGCTGTAATTATGATAAATGATGAATCCATCACCCATTAAAGGTAGGGTATCTGTAGCCTTCTTTGTTCGCAGTTGATTGTAGTTGTCCATGAGTTAAAGTAGCCATTGACCATTCGCTGGAATGTAATCTCGTTTGTCACTTTATTATTTTATAAAAATAACTTAACTGTGTTGCCAGTGGGTCTACGTCACGCGTGTCAGCGTGAGCGCAACTATCGCGACAGCATGGCGTGGAAAGCTCGAAACTTTGGCGATTCCAAACAGTACGCCGATGCGCAGAGACTGCGCACGCCCAGCTGCGAGAAACTGCAGAACCTGCAGCGATAAGAGCTCAAGTGTACGCCGCACTCTGAATGCAACACGTGTTTTAAATATTGCAAATGTATCCCATAATGATTTTTTATGTTTAACACTACACACATTTAAATGAAACTATTTTTTAAGGATTTTATCGCGTGTATTAACTTATTTAAAATTACCGACTTTTCGAGTACTTTACAGCATCCATGGTCACGGGAGGACGAGGAGATTGAGGTGTACGTCGTCCCAATTCAGTCCCCCTACGACTAAGATAAAATCCATAAAAAAATATTTTCATTTAAATGTATCCTATGTTTAATTTCCATTTTAGTATATCTTCGGTCTAGGTTTCCTGTTTAGTCGATGTCGTTGCAAAATTTACCACATCTATCAATCATTTGCTAGATTTATTTCTGTAACACTGTAGCGCCGTAGAAAATATGACACGTAATTAGCCTCAGAACAGGCCCATAATGGATCATACAAACCGTGATAGGCGAATGTAGACATTAGGAAAAACTCAACATACTGTTAATACGAGATTCGCCTCAAAATGGGGCGTTAATGGTAATGAGTTATACACATTCGCAATAGGAAACTGGGCAGTAGGAAGTACGTATCGCCTACGAAAATACGACACCTGTTTCGCCCCGAGGCATCATCACGATCTCACAGATTTAACACATTTATTATTTGTATGGTACAATTGCAGGGTCAGTGTAATACACTAAATAAAGCATCTTTTCTCTAAGTTAAAAATTCATGAAAAAAAGTATAAAAAAAACATGCGTGAGTGTCGTGGAACACTCGGTTGGAACGAAGTTTCTTTCGTAGATCGTAGTATCTATTATTGATAAACGTATTATATTATTGATTAACAAACACAAATAAATTAATTACTAGCGTCTATTAAAATAAAGCTTCAGTTAAAATAAAATCATATTTATTTCATGGCAAGATAAGAAAAAGTGCGAGGGATATGGATATTAGTCTTATCTGCCGCCAAGGCCGTCTGCACTACGTCAGAAGGGGTTGTGACGGAAAAATCTTACACTTTTTCTCGCCTAGTCCCCATCCGCCAAATCCGTACCATGCGATAAGGAACTTCGTTCCAAAAAGTACTTTGTGAAATATATTTCCACTATACTGATTAATACTGAAAAGTGAAATCAAACTTGTTTTAAAAACCTTTACATTAAACACTGTACTATAGTTCATTGATTTAATTTAAACTAGGGCTGCCATCCCCAAATTTTGAAAGCCAGAATATTTCGGTTTGAGAAGTGGACGCAGTATAGAACTGTTCTCAGTATGTTAATAGTAATAATCAATGAAAGCAAGATTAATGAAACTCGATTTTTTTTGTGAAAATAAAGTAGTTTCAATTAAAATATAATGTAAACGATACTGATATCATAAAAAAATTAATGGAAATAATTATTATATAATGAAAAATATTTATATATGTAATTTAATTTGATAATATTTTCGACTCCACCGCGGCTTCAAAATCTCGAGACGGTACATATAAAACCGTGCAGGACGCAGACCCCCCCAAAAAGTAAGATATGTACTGAAAAAAGAAAACTGTTACCAACTTTAGTTCAATTGACTTTTCAAATGCACGCATTATTTTTCACAGATTGCGTCCCCTTCTAGATTACATCATGAGCAATTTGAGAAACAAATATTATCTGTAGATCAAAATAATGTTACATTCCTGATCGCAGCCCGTAGAGAAATATGAAGAAAATTGCTTGAGGTAGGTTTCGTAAGCTAGAAGTACTATATGGTATTGTTACTAATATGAAAAATTATGAGAACAAGTTGATTTTGATTATTAATAAAAATCACCAAATAATAATATCAATAATGAAACTCTGTTTTACATTCTTAATGTCGACGCACTGCGGTGGTCTTTATTTGCACTCACACAATTTTGAAAAATATACATTTTGTTGTGTTTAATTTCACATTTTTCTATAATAAAATTCTTATAACACGTCACATAAAAAAAAACCCTTGTCTTTGTGAATATAATATGGCATTCAATGAGAATGAGAATACGGGCGAGAAGCGTGCACCAACAATGTTTTTGATTTTTTTGAGGTGATTATATTATGATGATCTAATGTTTACTTTAAAGACAAAATACTTTCAACCTTCTGTTGTGATAGTCTGAATTGTAATGATGTAGAATCTGGCATTTTAGACCTAAGTATATTGCGACACAGATTTACCTTTTCAGCATTTGCAGTAATTTTTTTTTTGTTTATTATTTATTTAATATAGGTTGATGGGACTGTTGTTTTTTAATTACAGCAATATATTGTTATAGGTAAACGAAAACCCAATAAATATATTATTTAAAACTGTCAGTTGTTTTATTTACGACATTTTTGAACGTTATTTACCTCTGTTTTTTATATATATACTAGCTGGCCAGGCAGACGTTGTTATGCCCTTTCCGACGACCTTTCCTATTAAAAAACCCTTAAATTCGCAATAACAAAAAATATTGAAGGTCACTTATCGGGATAAAAAGTATCCTATCTCTCAAGTTGGATCACACTGCACAGTGTGCAGAATTTCATTGAAATAAGTTCAATAGTTTAGTAGTTCTTCGCGGACAAACAACGTGACACGTAATTTTATATATAAAGATTTACTATTTATTTATATATATACCGGGTGGTAAAGGCTTATTACATTACACGATTTCTCGGGCCCTGCCCGCAGGGACAGGGTAGTGTAATAAGAAACAGGGAGTCAGGGTCCCTAAACAAGGCGACCGAGTGGTTCCGACCGCCCTGCTTCCCTGCCGCGCTGTGGATCGTGTAGTGTAATAAGAGACAGGGAGGCAGGGAGCTCAGTTGCGTGGCCGCATGCGCAGAGTCTACACGTTTGTTTATTTAAAGTTCTACTATGTCGATCTACTCTCTAAATCATTACTCGTATTTATGTCATGCGCTAAAGAAAAAGATCCTTCTTAATGTCATCGACATCTACAAATATATGCCTTATCAAATCTTGATAGGAGTTTCCAGTGGCCAAAATCGTAAAGTGACAACCAATCTCTTTTAAAAAAGTATTCTTTTGAATAAAACTTCTTTTACGGATTCTATCGCGTTTAATTTTATTTTTATTAATTCCCGACGTTTCGGGTGCTTTACCACCCATGGTCACGGGGAACTTGTAGCTGTAAAGCATCCGAAACGTCGGGAATTAATAAAAAAAAATTAAACGCGATAGAATCCGTACAAGTCGTTTTATTCAATGTGTAGTGTTCGCGTAAATATAAGAAATCATTAAAGTATTTTTTCTTTCTTTTTCACCCGATGGTAAGTGGTTGCTGTGGCCCATAGACACCTACATTTATCCTCGTATGCAAATCAAAATGCAGATGCGTTGTCACCCGTGAGGAATGAGATGGAATGCCTCTTTTCCAGTAAAAGGGTCTCCGGTTCTCTACACTCACCATACGAAACAGCAGTGTTAAGCTGCTATTTTACGCTGGTATTCTGTGAGAGCGTGGTCCTTCCCCGGTCGAGCCGACCCATTCGTGCTACAACTATACTACTAATATAGCTGTAGCATGGCTCTACCACGTAAAAAAATCAATAAAGCAATTTTTTGACGTTTAGGTAAAGTCTGCGCCATAATGCTAGACGTGCAATCATTTCCACGTTCGAGTAAAAGGCTTATTACATTACACGATTTATCGTGCCCTGCCTACCAGACAGGGCGCTGCTTATTACACTACGCTAGAAATCGCTTCCTGCCTCAGTTGTTACTCGAACGTGGAAACGATTGCACGTCTAATGCTAGCATTATGGCGCAGACTTTATCTAAACGTCAAAAAATTGCTTTAGTATTTTTTTTACGTAGTAGAGCCATGCTGCAGCTATATTAATAATATAGTTGTAACACGAATGGGTCGGCTCGACCGGGGAAGGACCACGCTTTCACAGAATACCAGCGTGAAATAGCAGCTTAATGTTGCTGTGTTTCGTATGGTGAGTGTAGAGAACGGGAGACCCTTTTTACTGGAAAAGAGGCATTCCATCTCAGTCTTCACTCCTCACAGTGTCTATGGGCCACAGCAACCACTTACCATCAGGTGGACTGTGTGCTCGTTTGTCACTCTATCTTATAAAAAAAAAAATTTGGCTGGCGGTACCGTGCAAGGCCAAGCTAAAAAAAGGAAGGAAAGGAAAATGTGGATGAAAAAGTATTAGCTCCTCAGAGAAAAACTATCGAATATGCAAATAGTCAGCGTTTTGGACCCAACAGACCTACGAAACTATTTTAAAGGTAGTAGTTTAGGGTTTAGTAGGTGAAAACTAATTCGACGAGTTATTAAGCTTAGTATAACGCCTTTAATAGAAAAAAAAATACTTTAATGATTTCTTATATTTACGCGAACACTACACATTGAATAAAACGACTTGTACGGATTCTATCGCGTTTAATTTTTTTTTATTAATTCCCGACGTTTCGGATGCTTTACAGCTACAAGTTCCCCGTGACCATGGGTGGTAAAGCACCCGAAACGTCGGGAATTAATAAAAAAAATTAAACGAGATAGAATCCGTAAAAGAAGTTTTATTCAAAAGAATACTTTTTTAAGAGAAATTGGTTGTCACTTTACGATTTTGGCCACTGGAAACTCCTATCAAGATTTGATAAGGCATATCTTAGTAGATGTCGATGACATTGAGAAGGATCTTTTTCTTTAGCGCATGACATAAATACGAGTAATGATTTAGAGAGTAGATCGACATAGTAGAACTTTAAATAAACAAACGTGTAGACTCTGCGCATGCGGCCGCGCAACTGAGCTCCCTGCCTCCCTGTCTCTTATTACACTACACGATCCACAGCGCGGCAGGGAAGCAGGGCGGTCGGAACCACTCGGTCGCCCTGTTTAGGGACCCTGACTCCCTGTTTCTTATTACACTACCCTGTCCCTGCGGGCAGGGCCCGAGAAATCGTGTAATGTAATAAGCCTTTAACAACTGAGGCAG